TGTTAGCAGACTGTGAGATCCTGAGATTTGGGAATGTTTACTCTAGTGGATGGAGGGTTTCCTCATGGCCTTATGCAAAGAAAACCTTTTCTGAAATTCAGGGGTTGCTTTTCATAACTGTGAGTCCTAAGTGGAGTATTCCTGCCATATATGTCTATTTTATCCATCCATTGAGTAATTGTATTCCTTGTTGTTGTGTTTTAAGTATATTGGCAGAAAATGGACACATTGAAACATGAAGTGGGAGAATGTCATGGGCTTTTAACTCATTCCTAATGTTTCAGGTTTTCTATCAAGCCCTGTGTGGTTCCTGTGCTTGAATCTACTTAGAGCCTGCTCCTACCCTGAATGCTGTTTTATTTTGTTTTGCTTTGCTTAGCAAAGAATATTCCCCTGAGCACCTGTTTGGGTGACTGTGTGTTCTGCTGACTGCAGGAGTCTTCAGGAGGACATCTAGACACATCAGATGCACAAAATGGTGAGTATGCCCTGGGCTCCTGGAATCCTGGGTGGCAGGTGAATGAAAAATAGAAGAGGACATGACTGCACCCGTGTGTGGTGGAGGAGAAGGTTCACTGTAAATATGAGAGAGACAGCACGTCCAGGGCCTCTGGAGTGGTCCGCAGTGACCTGGGCCATGGTAGAAGAGGAAGGGTAGGGAGAGCAGGAGACAAAGAGAAGAGAAGGAGGAGAAAGGGGACCAAGTGGCCAAGAGGCAAAACGTCTGGGCTTTATAGACTCAGAGAAGCTGGGGGAAGAGAAACGCAGCCCCATCACTGGGTTGGGGAGTTTAGAATGGGGTGGGGTGTGCGGGTCACGTGGAGTCTGTAACAGGTGGACTGGCAGCCAGCTTTCTCTTTAATGTGTTAATGGACACCTCAGCCATTTGTCCAGAGTCGGAGACCTAACATGGGGTTTGGGACACTGGCTGCTTTGGAGGTATGTGGTGACAACGGCTGGATTTTCCCTGGTGCTGTGCGGTCCAGTGGAGCTGGAGTCTGACACAGCAGTGCCTATGCCCAAGTTCACTTGAAGTGTGCACTCTGCAGGCAGACTTGAGCCCTGTGTCTCCCACTCTTCTGTCCTGGTGAAGCTGCTTCTTTGCAACCCCCCCCCCTCCAAACTCTTGTGTGAGTCTTAGCCGTGAACTTGTCCCAACACAGACCTTGCTGTGCTTGTGGGGACGGTGCTTTGTAATTGACTTGAGAGCACCCTACATTTATTATATATTTATTACACTTGTGTGTATAGTTTCTTTGATTTCTACTTTAAATATGCAATTTTATATTTAATATATAATATATTATCATTTCTTCGTTTTTTTTTTTTGTTTTTTTTTTTAGTTTTGGTGACAAGGTTTCCCTGTGTAACCTTGGAATTCCCAGTGTTTCCCAGGCTAACCATGCCCTCAGAGATCACCCTCCTCTTTTTTTTTTAGACAGGGACACTTGTGTACCTGCCTGGAAATCACTTTATAACTAAGGCTGATCCTGAACCTTGCTGAACCTTGATTCTCAAAACTCCCCCTCTCTTCCCTTTCCCATGCTTGTTTTGTCCTTTTCAGTCCTACTGTGTCCTCTCTCTACTTGCACATCACAAGCCTGCTACTGTGCCTGTACCACCCCACCTCCCCACAGATCTCATAGAACCATCCTTCTCCATGCTCTCTGTGGACACTCAGTCAAGCTATGAAACAGATAGCTAAGAGGCTAAAGATTGAATCCATACACAGGAGAAAGAGACAGCATTTGACTTTGTGTGCTTGGGTTACCTGGCTAGGTAAGTCAGGAGCCAATGAATACCACAAAGTCACCCCTCACAACAAACCACAGAACAGATTTATTGCAAGACCCAGTAGGGTGGCTGCCTCTGCTTGGGTGAGAAACAGCAGAGAACTGAGCAAAAGGCAGGGTTTAAATAGGATTTCTTAGGTGCAGATTTTCCAGGGTGGGAATTGGTGGGTTTTCAAGGCCAGACCTTGGGCTTTTTACTCTGTAGAGCAGAGCTTGGCCGCCTGAGTGTGGCAGGGCTGGGTCTGCTCTTCATGGCAGTTAGACCATGTTCTGTTAGACTGTGTTCTGTGGGCAGAGCCTGGGCTTTGGGGGTTCTGGGGGTGGGGCATGGCCACTCACATGCCTCAAGTAGCTTATGAAAAGGCCAAGAAACTATTTAATATGTTTATTATTGGGAATTTCCTCTCTATAAGTGATGTATTTTATCTCACCCTTACACCCGAGCACACCTTTATTTTATGTCCTTTTTTTTTACTTGTTTTATTTCATTTTGTTTTATAACCCACTGAGTTCAGTTAGTGTTATCCCAGTGTGTGTAGCCATCCAGAGGGTGTGTGTGGGCAACCTACTAGTGGTGACATTTCTGAAGAAGAATGACTCTCCATCTCAGTAAAGCTGTCAGTTGCCCATACTTTCTTAGCTAGGGGTGGCCTTCTTGAGAACCAATCCCATTCTGCCCAGATTTTTGACTGACAGGATCCAAAGTGTTTGGGACTTAAAAAAATGTTTCTTTTAAATAATTTATTTAAATGTATTTTATGTGCATTGTGTAAAGATGTCAGATTCCCCTGGAATTGGAGTTATAGAAAGTTGTGAGCTGCTATATGGGTACTGGGGATTGAACCTGGGTCCTCTGGAAGAGCAGCCAGTGCTCTTAACCACTGAACCATCTTCCATCTCTCCAGTCCCTAGATTTTAAAATTTTATATGTGCATTATAGACTGGTTTTGGGGAAACTGGGTTCCTTCTCAGTAGGAATACTCTTTTTTCCTTTGTGTCTTTATTCATTGACCTTCTATAAACCTACAATGTTCACGTTTAACATAGACAATTATTCATGTAACCAATCTAGGATTAAGTCAGTAAGAAATCAGTTGTTTTCAACTGATGTTGGTCTAATTGACACAGGAAGAAAACGAAAGTGAAAGGCAGAAAGAAAAAACTAAACACTTCTCATGAATTCGGTGTGGCTGGAGACTTAGGCCAGAGAACTTGTCTTAAATTGAAACTGAGGAGTCCTACATTGTTTGTGAATTGTTAGAGTCACCTATTAGTCCACTTTTCTTGTCTTTTCTATTGATTTTCTATCCATTCCTGGTGAACAATGTAGCAGAGATGGTACGTCCTCCACCAACCTGTATTGTAGGACATGGAAACCTCAGGTTGATGATTGTTATTGGCCAAACTGATTATTTGGTGCGCCATTGAGAACATAAATGTCACAATGGAAATTGGGCAGAAAGTGTTTAGGGAAATTTCTAGTAATGCGAGAGGAGACTTGGTTTGCTTCCCTCCATGTGACTGTTTGCCCAGTTCATAATTGGTTATTGGGGTCTGGGCAGGGTATTCCCGTTTAGAGAAGAGTAACTTGACTCAAAGCAAAAGCATACTACAGGACAGAAATATGCAATGAAATATGTCAGCAGGAGTGAGAATACACAAGGGGTCAGTTATCTTGGGGGGCTTTGAAAGAAAGAGGATTTGGTTGCTAAGGGGCACAGCATGCACACAAGGTTCAATGTTTTGACTGACAGGATTACATTTGGTCAGCCTTGCTAACTACACATGGCATTTCTCATAGAGATCTGATTTTAGAACTATGTAGGCCCAATTATTTAGAAGAAAAAGAATTGTAAAACCAGAAGAAGATTGTTCTTAAACATTCATTTTGAGAACAGTTTGCCTTATTGCGCATGTACCTCAAACTACTTCGTTGAGAATCAGCCTATTTTCCATATGTCCAAAATGGTTTCCAAAAGGTGTTTGAATATAATAAGGTGTTGCGAAGGCATTGCTAAAGGAACTAACTTGTTGTTCTTTTTAAAGGAGACACAGATACAGCCCACTAGAGATAATTTTTCTAAGGAGAATACCCACAGGTTGCTAGGTTCATTGTTCAGAGAGGGCTGTGTGCAGAGCCCAAGCCAAGTAGAGTTCCAGGTTGCTGAGTTTTCCCTGTGTTTCCTGCTTCACTATTGTCCCAATGCTTAATATTAATCTTGTTATAAATTACAGCAGTTCTCCTTGTTTAAAATTTTAGCTTGCTCACATTCTTTTCCCCTACCAAACTACTCCATGTTGTACATTCACGTTCATTTCAAGTTGTCTGATGTAGGTCGACTGAAGTTATATTCTTCACTCTAATATCTCAGGAATAGCCTTTACTCTAGTTCTTTACAAAGTCCTTGTTCCCTCTAAAACTTCTCATCCACGTTTCTTCTGTAGGCATTTCTTTCAGTGTTTTCGTCCTTAAAGCATCTACCAGAGTGATTCATTCAGCTTTGCGTTCAGTATGTTCTAGACTTTTTCTTGTCTAAAGAGAATTTTCTCGCCAGTTCTTCCACATTTCTTCCAAAACATGTTCAAAATGCCAACAGAGAACCTTGTTAGTTTTACTTACAACAAGGGTCCATTTTTTAAAAAAAATCTATTTCTTGTATCAGGCTTTTTATATGGCTGCCATAAATGACTCTGAGAATAGGACCTTAAGGCAGAGTTTATTTCCTCTCACAATTGAAGGTCAAGTCCATAAAATGCATGACCATGAAGCGACTGGTCAGATCCCACACAATCAGGAATAGAGTGATGTGTAGTTGTCTGTGTCTCAGCTCCCTCCTTCCATTAATGTAATTCCTATACCGTTTACAACATTCTGCATCTCAAGTAGATGCACGCATGTGTGCGTGCGTGCGTGCGTG